CCCACACCCGCACCCACCCCCACACCCACCCACCCCCCACCCACACCCTGCGTAGAAGACATATTGAATACCGTTAGATTGAAAATATGGCAGTTAGGGGTCACTTTTTCTTTACATATCAATGTAAAAACCACCTGATATCAATCAACATTATACTGCACTTTCAGGAATAGTCTTTTTGGGTTGTGTTTCGAGCTGTTGAACTGTGACAATGACCCGCGGAGGTGCGTAGAGGACATATTGGATACCATTAAGAGTGAAAATATGGGATTGAGTTTTACTTTTTCGAAACATATCAATCTAAAAACTATCGGAAATCAATCACCATCATTGTACACTTTCAGGAATAGGCTTTTGTGATTTTCTTTCGAGCTGTGGAACTGGGAAATGGCCGGAGGAGGTGCGTAGAAAACATATTGGATACCCTGAAGTGTGAAAATATGACACTTGGCGTTCACGTTTTCTTTACATACGAATGTTAAAACCACCTAAAGTCAATCACCATGATAGTAAACTTTTAGGAATAGGCTTTTAGGATTTTATTTCGAGTTGTTGGACTGGGATATGACCAGAGGGGTGCTGGGAGACATATTGGATAGGCTTAAGGGTGTAAATATGGCACTTAGGGGTCACTTTTTCGTTACATATTAATGTATAATCATTCTTGAGAGTTTGTCTTGATGGTGAGGGTGTCGGTGAAAAGGAGGCTTACAGGCATAGCGACACCTCAAGCGCAATTCGCTCCAGTAAAAATAATATATGCAATTGTCTGATAAGGTGGCATAATGCTGAATGATTTTTCACCGCCAACCGGATCTGTTGACCCATCAATTGGATGAGCATGAGAGCCATCATAGCTGAGGGTTATTCCAGTGTGGCCCCACGGAATACTGTGCTTATGATTGGCGTGCTCGGCGAAGCCGCGGCCGTGGTTGCCGTCGGCTTTGTAATCATGTTTCCTTGCTGCGTTGGTCTCTCCCGTGAAACCTCCATGGTTATGGCCTGGATCATAGACAGCATGTTTATGTGAGCCTGCATTGGCAGTGTATAATGCATCAGCGCTGTGGTTATGAGTAGGCATTTGATCAATTGTGAGTGTGTGTTCTTTATTTCCTCCTTTTTTCCAACGGTCTTCCTGACTTGTGATTGGATTGAGACCTAGTGGGAAGCGGTCGCGAAAATCAGGCACATTGAACGTTGTTTTTCCATCTCCAGCTCCGAATGATGCACCGATAATAGAGAAGAGTCGTTGATATTCAATACGTGAAATTGCAGTCCCATTACAGAAAAGCCAAGGAAAAGGAGGATGAGTGTCCGCTGCATATAACCGAATTTCACCTATCATACATGTAGATGATTGAATGACGCTTGTTCGTGTTACTCCACCGAATGTCGGAGGCAGGTTTAATGTGCTGAGTGTTCGAATCATTGCATTACTCGTTTTCTCAGCAGTCAATTCTCTTGCCATTAGAGCAACTTGCAAATTGTCAGTGATATCTGTCAGTCTATAAACTTGAAATGATTTTGGTATAATCTTTTCTCCTTTCCATTCAGTTTCTATCGACTTTTGATCAAGATATTTTTTAATATCTGTTAATGAGATAACATCATGCGTTGTTTTTTCGGTAGCACCCGATTCAGCCTTATTAACTAATGCAGATACATCCATACTTGATGATGCAATTCCAAGGATATTAGCTGAGCCTTTAAATGCTGCTGACACCGCCAATGATTTGGCATATTCTTCATGAAAGTTATAGTATTTATCACTTGTATTACGATAATTAGTTTCCGCCTGATTATAAGTGAAGATTTTATTGAGTTCCGAAGTAAGACGATCAGGATTTAAGTCATTAGAAGACCAAAGCTGGCCATACATATTGAGATCTAATTTTTCTTGTTTTGAGTTATCCATGGCTAAAAGAAGAGATGAAATACGGACGCAAAATGCATCAAAGTTTACTCTTTTGGTTAAAAATCTGATCTCAGAATATCAAACTACTTATAAGGAGCGGCTGACCTTGGTGCATTAGTGAAAAGAATTGGTCTTCTAATCCAGCAGTTAAACTGGATGTGTTCGACTTTGGATCTTCTTTGTAAATCATCTTCCTAACGTTGGCTAGATAGCTAGAAACACATTTGTTGGCCTGGCCTCTATGAATAAAAGTTGCGTTTGTATTTCCTCCGTCAGCTGTTGTTTTTGAGAGAACACTTTTTAATGAATCGCTAGTGATTGACACCATACTTGTTGAGACTTTGTTGAGACCGGCAAAGAAGAATGCAAATTCTACATCGTAATCGCCATCGATGACACGTGACATGATTTCCTGAGCAATGACTTCCGATGAACACTTAAATCTAATTGTCATTGTTTTATCACTGGGATGTATTCTGCGAAATGGGTGTACACCAGCCGCCGGCTTATTATCTTCATTAACAACGAAGGCTGAAAATGAATCGATGATGAGCGGAGCCACTTTCAATTTTCTAGTTTCTCCTGTTTTGACAATTTCTTGTCGTGCCATATCGTCAATTTCATCGTTACCAAACATGACATTGAGACGTAGCTCGCCTCTGCCAGAAGTCCATATCCAATTAGTGTCTAGTTTCTTCTGGGGAAACATAATTGGCACATAATAATAGATTAGGTTTGTCGGATCATTTGAGAGTGACTTGTAGATATAGATTTGTTGTCCGTGGTAGTCAACAATGGTATAAATCTGTGTGTTAACAATGCCTGTCCCATAACTTGAATCTGGTCTATCCGCTTTGGAATCAGTGGTGTTCAGTGCTAGAGCTGGCAAAATTTCAAAACAAAATTAAAGCTAAGGCTGGGAAAAACAGTATACTTGATACTTACTCGAATGAGGAATTAGAAGAAGGATTATTGCTAGCAGCAAGTTGATTTTCATGTTCCTGTTTTGATATGAAGAGAACTGTTCGTTCTTCAATCTTAAGGAAAATATAGTAGGGTAATTCCATGGGAAATCTACCATAAAAACACAAAGTGTTTTGAT